CGCGGAATGGCGTCCGCGGCGGGAGGCCGTGCGCAGGCACGACCGCGAGAAGGCCCGCCCGCGGGCCTCGCCCGTGCTGACTTGAGCCCAATTAGGATCGGGAGAGAAAGGGGGGGGAAGAGCGGCAAACAGACTGCGATGGGGGACGTAAAACAAAGTTCAAGAACCACTAGACGAACACAGAGCGCCACACAACGCTGGTGCATTCTATCGCGCTGCCCATGGCGCAGCGTTTTGCACCACCTGTGGTGCAGCCAACGGCGCAACCATTGGCGCAACATGTGGTGCAAGGTATGGCACAAACGCTGTGGCGCAACTTGTGGCACAACGCATGGTGTAACATTTGACGCATCCACTGGCGCAAACCTAATACGGCGCACCCTATGGCGTAATGTATGATGCAGCCTATGGGAAAACCTCTCGCGCAGCTTCTGGCGCAACTTACGGCGCAACCACTGGGGCGAACACATGGAGCTACTTACGGCGCAGCCTATGGCGCAACCTATGGTCCAATATATGGTGTACCCTGTGACGCCACCTGTAGCCTTGAGTGCAACCAGCGCGGCTCAACCTACGGTGCAACCTGTGGCGTAACCTGTTACGTATTCGGTGGCGCAAACTACGACTCAACCCGACGAATGCTGTAACCTATGATGCAATCTATCTGGCGCAACATATGGTGCGAACGAAAACGGACCAAACTATGCCACAACATGTGGAAGAACCAATGGCGCACCCAGTGGCCACCTACGGCGCAATCAATACGGTGCAACTGATGGTGCATCATATCAGATGACGAAGTCCTGGTGCAATACATGACGAAACCTATGGCACAGCACAACACAGGAAGCAACTCACTGCGCGACCCTCAACGACGGCAGACTGTCAGAGGGAGCGCTGGCGGGAAGCTATAGAGTGGAAAGCGGACGGAGAGATGTTGTAAAATGAGCGCAACGAGAGACGGAAGAAAGCGAGTGTGTTGAGCAGGGACCGACCGTCCAGGCATTCCTTTAGTCCTACCACGACATGTTCTTAGAACCCAAACATGCTCTAAGAACATCAACAATGTTCTTAGACAATAAACCCGATGTGTTAAACCAAGACAGACCCAGTCAGAGAAATCTTCTAAGAGCATTTCGTGGAAACCACAAACGGTTCTTAACACGTTTTTTGGTAACCCTATAAGGGAGCCAGGGCGCTTCGCTTCGCCACTGCTTGAGTGTGAGGGGCGGGGGCGATGGACAGAGGACGGACGGGGGGAAGGAGGCGAGCGCGAGCTCGGACGATGGGGAACGTCGGGGAGGAGGGAGGGCGAGGGCCGGATGCGGGACGAGGGAAATGGGGAATGGGGAGACCAGGAAGTACCGATGCCGCTCCTCCCTGGACCTCTCCCGTGGTGCGTTCTGGCCGGCGCTTCGAGGCGAACCCAGCGGTGACGACGAGAGCCTCCCAGGAGGCCGGAAAAGGGAAGCGCGAGGGAAGGGGGCGGCGACGACGGCGACGAGGCCGAGGCCGAGGAAGCGCAGGCGGACGGGACTCGAAGTGGCTGGGCACTCGCAGCTCCTGCGGGGCTCTGCGCCCACTCTCTGCTCGCGCCGTTCTTGGGCCCACGACGGTGGGGCCCAGTCGCCAGTTGGCGGCCTCGTGCAATCTCGCGGCGCCTGTGAGGTCCTCCTCCTCCTTCTCCTCGTCGTACTGCTCTCCTCCTCCTTCTCCTCCTTCTCCTCCTCCTCCTCATCCCTCCTCCTCATCCTCCCTCCTCTTTCTCCCTCCTCCTCGCTCCTCGGCGTGGATCCCTGTAAGACGAAGCCTGTAAGACGCGCGCCCCCAACCCCCCCAGGGAGCCCACACAAGGACGTGTGCGCCCAACCGCGTGCATGAACACGGCCCCCCAAACCGCAACACCAGCCGCGCGACTATGACGGTTCGCGCCATGCGCACTTTCGAAACTGGCGTGAACTCCTGCACGTGTGCGTTCTTCATTCGCTCCTGATGTTCGTCCACCCCGAACCTTCCTTCCCTCCCCCCCCATTGAGGCCGCGCCAAGGGGTGGACGGTTTCCCCCGGGGCCGTAGGCGACCCGAAGAGAGGAGGGCGAGGAGGGGGAGGGAGAGGGAGAGGGGGAGGCGGAGGGGGAGGGGGACAAGCTAGGTGCGCTCGCGTCATATCTGACATCCTACCCCTCCCTCCCATCCCTTACCATGGCGTATATCCCCTCTCTACTCGCACAGTCGGATGTCGAGCAAGGCAATGAGCCCGAAAGGGTACGCGATGCATTGTAGAGCACGGCATGGCAGGGCGTATAAGCGCACCGCAAAGCGTAGTATGTCACAGCATGGCGTGGCGTGGCGTAGTGAAGAATTGCATCACAAAGCTTTGCAATGCAAAGCATGGCATCGCACAGCGGCCCCGAACAGAACATTGCATAGCATGGCGTTGAAGATCAAAGCGTAGCATGGCATAGCACGACGTGGCACTGAACCACTGCATATCACAGCTTCAGCTGAAGGTATGACATCGCGCAGCGGAACGCAACCTAGCATTGCATTGCATTGCATGCCGTGGCATGGCACGGGAAATGACGCCAGCGCTGCAGCGGGAGCACGATTCGGAACGAGCGGAAGCGCGGAAATGAGGCCAGCGCTGCAGCGGGAGCACGATTCGGAACGAGCGGAAGCACTGAAATGAGGGCAGCGCTGCAGCGGGATCACGATTCGGAACGAGCGGGGCCCGAAAATGAGGCTAGCGCCTCAGCGAGAGCAGCATTTTGAAACAAAAACGCAAGCGAAAACCCAACTCCGGGGAATCCTGTGTGTAAAAAACAATACGCGGGGGGGGGGGGGCGAACACACCCAACCCGTCATCAGGGGAAGGATGAGAGTAGTATTCATATTGAGTAATTGTGGAGGAGGAGGAGCAGAGGAGGAGGAGGAGGGAGGGGAGGAGGACGAGGAGGAGGAGGAGGAGGAGGAGAAGGAGGGAGGAGATGGAGGAGGAGGCGGAGGAGGAGGACGAGGAGGACGAGGATGAGGAGGAGGACGAGGAGGAGGAGCAGGAGGACGCGAGGAGGGGCAAGACTTACAGAGGGAAACACATCATAGAAACACGGCGACCCCAACCAGCACCTGGGAGGGAGGACGCCAACACAGCAGAGGACCCCAAAACGAAGCCTGGACGAGGATAACATCGGGCGAGAATGAATCGAGATCCTCTGAGATCCGGCTTCTCTGGAAGCTGTCTCGGGCGCCGCGGCCTTCTCAGAGCGTTCCGGAACGCTCTGAGAGCGTACGGGAACGCACCGGAACGGGTAGATCCTCGTCCTAGTCCTGTCTGACTACAGAGGACCTGACGCTCCTTCAGGACGTCCAGTATACACGTGCGCCAATTCTGACCAGGCTCAACCCGAGCCCACGATCGGTGTCTGGGCACGGAGACACATGCAGCGACTGTGGGCCCAGGACCCGCTTGGCCAGGATCGGTGCAGGTGTGCAGAGCAAGTGCCATCCGATACCTGGTGACCTTGACGGCCGGCTTTTCATCCCGAGCCGTTCTGTGCGAGGCGATGACTTGTCCGCGGCCACCGCTTTTGGGATCCATCTCCCGGGGACATCGGCAGGCGATGGATATGGATTAGATGCGGGCCCTGGGGGGCCAACACATAATCAGATACACCGCATGCCGAGGTCCCCGAATATCAAGATCGATCTCACAAGAGAGCCCTGCTGCTCGCGAAGATAACGGGCGTGAGGGTGGGGAGGGGCGTGGGAGGGGGCCTGGATAACGTAACGTTCCCCCCCTCCCACCCCCCGCAGTATGGGTCCAGCACCACAGACTATGTTGCCGGGCGCACTGCGGCAAAGCTGGGGGCGCACTGGGGAGAGGGGAGCGTAACGGTAAGGGGTGTGGAGGGTGGCATGATGCGCGTTGCAGTAGGGGCCCGACCACGAGAACCCTTCCACAAGAAACCGAACCCTGAGACCCCATGACGTCCATGGATTCTTGGTGTGGCAGCGTCACGCTTTCCATCACAAAACCATCGAAACAAGAAACCCAGAGGGCACTCTGGAGGCAAGCAGGGAGTTTCTTGGCATGGGTCTCCACTGCATGGCGCAAAAACACAATCTCCCTGGGGCCCGGGACAAGCAGTAGGCCGGGCATGTCCCCCTACAGGCGGATTTTGGATGGAAAAAACAAGAATAATCAAACATACTCAAACAAAGTCTACAAAATCGTCCCCTGACTATTTTTGACTGTTTTTAGATATTCCTCCGACTCTTCCTGTAGAGGGACACGCCCGACTTAAGACAAGCAGGCCACCAGAAGCCAAAAACGCGCAGAAACACTGGCCGCCGTGCTCGCTTCCTGCTGGCGGCGCCGAGGCGGAGCATTTGCCCCTCCCCTCCGCCCCTCCTGGGGGGGCTCAGGAACACACAAAGAAACACTCACAGAGTTAAGCAAGCGAGCGTTTTCTTTTTCTTCACAGAGACAAAACAACGTAAACATAAACTTTTCGCGCTCCGCGCTGATTTCTTGGATCCGTGCCGGACCCTCCTCCCTGGCGCGCGGAGCGCGCCAGGGGCGGCGCCGGAGGCGCCGCCAGAAAGGCCCTAGCGCGGATCCAAGAAATCCGCACGGAACACCACAAGTTCCTGTTTATGGCGCTTTTCGACATTGGCGTATCGATATTCGGCGTGTCGACATTGGGCAAGAAGGGGCGTGGAAGGGGAGGGGGGGGTCTGGCTCTGGACCTCTGTTGAATGATATTGTTTGCAAATGTGCGTGTGCGTCCAATGGGGTAGGCTCCACCTGCCCGAAACAGGCGCCCCCAAATAGCCAAGATCCACTCCCTGGGGGGAGATGCGAGGGCCCGCGCCGATCGGCAAAACAGTGTGTGTGTGTGACAAAAACGGCCCCTTCCCACATTTTTCGTGGGGGGGGGTCGACGTTTGCTCGTGTCGGTGTCCACTCCCCCCTCCTGAGCCCAAGGGCGCGCTTCACGCCTGGGGCGCAGGGCGTCCAGGCTCCCGCGCAGGCCCGGCCTCGCGGTCTGCAGAGTCCGGGTCCTCCCGCCGCCCGCCGCTCGGCGTCGGCTCTGCCGTCCTCCGTCGTCGTCTTTGGTGGTCGTCGTCTTCGTCTCCGTTGTCGTCTTCGCCGTCGTCATCGCTGTCGCGTTCGCTGCAACCCTGGCCTCCGTCATCGTAGGATTGGAGACGTGAGGCAAGAGTGGGAGGGAGGAAGGGGGGCAAAGGGGGATCCATCTTGCAGCTCGAGAGCCCAGTGAACTCGAAGGGAAATGGAAAGTAAAAGGAAGAACAGTCAGTCGTGCGTGGGTAAGACGGGGCACTGTTTCATGACCAATCGGTTGAGCGCTGTGGCCCACACGCTTGGCATGTGCAGGTGTGTATGTGTGCGCGCGGGTGCGTCCTCGCTCCCATTTGGCCCCTGGCGAAGGTTTCCGTGTACCCGTGCAGTTGTGAGCATGCCGCCGATGTTGCGACCATGGTCATTCTTGTCCGCGGGCCCGAGGAAGCAGGAAAGCCACCTCATGCGCTCATGCTGTCGGTACGGCAGAACCCGTGCAAGCGCCGCGCAGGCATGCAGAAGAAAGAGACGGGGGCGAGCCTTCCCCTGCCCACGCCTCCTCCTCCTCCTCCCGCGCGCCGATCTCCTGTCACGTTTGACACCAGACGCGCACGCACGCACACTTTTTGCGTCGGCGGCTAGGCAGAGGGACTGCGCTGGCGAGTTGAGCAACACGGGGCACGCTAGGCGAAGTCAGCTACCATGGAGAGGGGGGGAGGGCGGGCGAGCGGCGCCGGCCCAGGAGGGAGAAGAGCACGCACGCACGCCCCCATACTCCGCCAAGGCATGTTGCGGCGAAGACGGGCCTCACTCTGAGCGATTCGGCCGCAGCGCGCGCCAACATTACCGAAGAATGCCTCCGAGCAGCAACCGGACACGCGCACACGCACGCATGTTTAGCGTCCGCGGCCGGAAGAATACCCATCCGAACGCTCTCCTCGCATCCTCCAGTGCGAACGGAATTCGGGCATCGACGAGCTGTGTTCCCGAACGCGAAAAATACCCGTACCCTTACCCAGGCGGGGTGGTAAGGGCGGGGGGAGCGACGCGCCGCAGCCGACGGCGGTTGCACAACTGCAGATGCGACGGCCAATGAAACATTACAGGACCCTGTTTTCTCCGGGCAACCGCTGGTACCGAAGGCGTGTGCGTTCCAATCGGCAGGGCGGTCGACCACGAATTGGTCGCTCTCGGGCTGGAGTAGTTCGTTCGGAAGTGCGCCCACGAAGGCGCACAATCAAGCGTCTCGGGTTCGACGAGCAAAATGCGTCCTGGGTGTCCTAGGCGGGCGCCGCTGCAATCCCGCGCTCGGCCCAAACGCTTGGGGCCCCGAACGTCAGGCGCGGTCGCCAGGGGCTGCTCCCTGGAAAACCCGCCTGGCGTCGCTCCAGCTTGGTCCGGGTGCGTGTCGGGGGGTACCGTCGCCGACGCGCGTTGATGGTACCCCCGGAGACACACCTGTACCTAGTCGAGGTGGCGTTCGGCCGAAATCGTTCTCGGGCGCACGCGCGGCCCTCGAGAGCTCTCCCGAACGCGGCCGCAGAGGCCCCCGGGGGAGCGTGAGATTGCAACGACGCTCACGCGGGCAGACCCAATCGCAACGGAGTGGTGGTGCTTGCCCCCAAATGGGACAGGCACCACCACTTCAATTCTGTTTTATATCTGGCGGACACCCCCGATCCCCCAGACGTCCATGACACAAACAAGGGCATGTCGCTACAAACAAACAGCCAGCCATTCAGCGTGTCGTTGCGTCCTGACGCGCGGATGCTGAACAAGCGCGCATGCGGCAGGCTGATCGGGCGCAGTGGCAAACGCCCAATCCAGCAGACTGCCGTTTTCACCCAGGCCGACGCCGGGTTCAGGAACGATGTCGTATCCAGGCGCAGGCAAGCACAAACAGTCGTCGAGTGAACAAGGCACGAGCCGAGTTCAACGCATCCTCGGGGGCGAACTAGCCGAAGGAGAAAGGATGAGCGGAAAAGGACGTGCACATCACAAGAGATGCGAAGGCAGCCACCGGGGGCGATGAGGAGAGGCAACAACAGGAAGAAGACACCGATGGTGGCGTCGGCCAGAGCGACGAAGCAGCACCGGGGAAGCAACAGCATCACGCTTAGTGTAGCTACACACCAACTGCTGGCTTGTGGTGGCAAGCACAGAGAACCTCACGCGTTGTGACGGCGGGCCAGGGCAGAACCAGGCAATATACACACATCGATCCCTATGGGCTGGCACTGACGTAATAGCTCCAATCCCGTGGAAAATGTCGCTGGCGTGTTCCGTCCCGTCCTCCTCCTCCTCCGACCGTTCTTTCTCCTCCATCTCCTCCAACTCCTCCGCGTCTGCTTCGTCCTTGGCAAATGACGTGTGGAACTGTTCCGCATCCATCGAGGAAGCTCCCATGAGCGGAGGGAAGAGGGAAATAATTGAAAGAGAGCAAGGCTCAGGAGGGGAATCGCAGAAGAGGTAATTAGGAGGACGGCCTAAATCTCCGACGTCGTGATTTTTCAGTGCGGGATCCCTTGACCCTCGACCCCTTACATCCTGTATAGATTTTCGACGGGCCTGGGGCCCGAAAGCGACCTCGGGGCCCGCAAGCGACCTCGAGACGCCAAAGACGGCGAATGGGCTGTTAGACAAGGACCACGGGCTCCCGACACGCTTCGGTAGCACGTCCATAGGAGCCTACCATACCATCTTGGTGCCTCTTGCGGATCAACGCAAGAGCGAAGCTAAATCGACGCTAATCGTCTCTGGTCGCTAATCGACGCTAAATCGGCGCCATCTCATCGACTACCAGACGCTAATCGACGCTCCTGTATTCTAGAAGCGTAAATAAATGGTCACACGAAGCTCCCATGACTTGCAACGAACGGCCCGCCTCGCGCACCGTGACCCTGCCGCGGTCTGGCGGGGCCTCCCCGGAGGGCTGGGAGAGGCACGAGACCTGACAGTTCTGCCACCGCACCCTCACCACGCAATGGCGTGCCCCACGGCTCCTGCAACCGAGAGAAGTTAAAGGGGCCCGGGGGCGCACAAGGAAAAATGGACAAATCCCAGGATCCCCCATCGTTTCCCATATGTTCTGGATTTTCGTCTGCCCCCGCACTTCCCATATTTTTGCTATATTTTCCTGGGAGTCGACGATTAATAATGTCTGTGTGTATTTTCTTCCCTCCTGCGAGGTTCCAGGGCTCAAGGGTTCTTTAAGGTCCCGGGCCCCCGGTTTCCCATGAGCCGCCGTGTCCTCTTGGGCGCTCTTGGGCGTTACTGGGGTGTGTCGCGTGGGCCTCTGGGACGGTGACCTCGCCCAACAGGGCCCCAACATAGGCGCAGAGGGCTCCAAAAAGGCCCCAAGAGGGCCCACGAAGCCTCCGAGACGGCCGAAGAGCTTTCCAAGATGCCCAAGAAACTAAAAGTGAGGTAGGCATCGTGAGATGAAACAATGGTGGTAAAGGACATGTGTGTATGTGGGAGGCATCTTCCAGGAGTATGGCTCTTTCCCGATGCGGTAGCGGATCGATCCGAGCAACTGGAGCGCCGGCCGCTTGAACAACGAATGGCGGCGCTGACCTACATTCAGAGTCAAGATCGCCTCATAACGCCTCCCAGAGTCCCCCACACGCCCCAACGGAGCTGCCACTCTGCATGGGTTGTAGGTCAAAGTTCTCAGGGATGCTTCTTCGGGTCTCTTCGACACACTTTCGGGGGCGTCTTGGGAGCAAATTGTGGGCTTCTTGGGAGCCCCGTGAAGGTCTCTTAGGGGCCTCTTGAGGCCTCTTGGGGCCTCTTGAGCGTTGCAGTCTCAGGGGGGCCTCTTGGGAAGCTCTTTTGGGCTTCTGGGGAACCCATTGGAGTTTCCTCGGGGCCTCGAAGCGGGGAGCGCGACATTTCAGTCAGTGTTCTTCCTCTGGGGCCCCTCTCGGAGCCCTCGTGGGCCATCTTGGGCGCCTGCAGCGACGTCTTGTGGCCCTCTTGGGCCGCCTGAGGACCTTCTTGGCGGCCTCGTGGGCCCTAATTATTGGGGACATTGTACAGGGTTCGTGGGCCGACGTGGGCGCGGCGACGACCACGACGGCGACCATGCCCAACATGCACGTTTTGCCGAAGGGATTGGGACGATGTTTGCCTCGCAAGAACCATCCTTGGCCCCGGCATGGGCCGAGGCGGGCGAGTGCGCGGGCTGCAACGTAAAGATCGTTCACCTGATCCCTAGCACCACTGACGCGGCCTGGGCCCCACTGGCTGATTACCCCCCTACGTAGATGACGATATAGGCTGTCTGTTCCCTTCGGGCTTCGAGAGGCACATCCCCAACTGGGGCGGTTGGACGTCGCCGACAGGCCGGGGTTGTTAGATTGAAGTTGAGCAGGGACCGGCCGTCCTGGTATTCTTATAAGACTACAACGACATGTTCTTAGAACCCAAACATGTTCCAATAGCAAGAGCAATGTTCTTAGAATATGAGCACAATCTCAACCAGAAATGTTCTAAGACCATCTCGTGCAAACCACAAAGGATCTTAAAACATTATGTGAAGGGCCTATGTGCAAGCCAGGACGCAACGCCACTGCACGACGACAACCAATACCTCCCGAAACGAATCGCACACCAAGCCTCTGCCTTCTCCTCCTTCTCCTCCTCCTCCTCCTTTTCCTCCTCCTCCTCCTCCCCATTCAGCTCCCCCTCCCCCTCTCC